CAATTAAATATATCCAGTTTCTACTGAAACTTTTGTTTACAATTAAACAGAACGTTATCATAAACAATATTGATGATATATCGATTTTAAGAAATTTGATTGATTTTATGGTAAACGTTCTATGTTAAAATATTTGAAGTTATGTAATTCTGGAAATTCTAAAAGGGTGATATCTGTTTTTGTTAAATATATAACATCATGCAGTTGCTGATTTAGTTCGGAGTAATTAGCGTACCTTAAATACAGTAAACAGAAAACGACCTACTAAGTATGGAATGATATACTATTCACAAATGTCTATCGATCGTTTATCGTTTGTTAGTAGATGGGTAATAGTAATTTTCTTAACTTGTTCATTTCTGTAACTAAGACATCATAACACGTTTTTCTTTGGTGGGGGGAATATACTTAAACTATGGGTCATCATGAATTTTTCTATAATTTCTTTCAACCCACTCTTCTTTACTAGTGAAGGGGTTGTGGAGATTATTAAGTTTTTGATTGAGATCATGAACCGATTGATGCTAGACCACCTTTGGAGACCTGGAAGCACTGGACGACCGTTTCGTCCTATTGTGGGACTCATCAGCAGTGCGCATCCATGATCCCGCTTGAGGGATTCGAACTCAGGGCCTTCGGTCTCGCGCGCGAACGCTTAACCTACTGGACCACTGAGCCGGCGTCCAATGGTGATAGTGTCTAACATCAACCAATCCACGAAATTACGCGACCAACTTCCATTGTACTGAGGTAGATACCTGTCTCTACCCGACATGGATTAGCTCCACTGGTCACGGCTTCTCACTGGAACTCCGAGAATTCTCTCACGAAGCTAATCACTAATGAGCACATGTTGATTACTAGTAAAGAGGTTGGGGAGATTATTAAGTTTTTGATTGAGATTATGAACTCTTCTTCCATTAATATAATCCTAAAAATAAACTATATCTTAATGATCTATGGTAGATCATTCTATTACGATGAGAATATGGTTAGTCACATTTTTATAGAAATGTATAACTCATATCGATTGAATATTGTGTCATTTAAACAACGAATAGGAAAATTATATTACTAGATTACGTAATACGAATAATAACATTAGACTTAATAAATTAGTAATGAATTATAACGTGAATGTAGTAAGATGATTAAAATGTTACAATAATTCTAGGTAGTTAAGGTTGAAATGTGAAATAAATGAAGTGATATTTTAGTGACCTGTGGATCTGACTCCATTTAGATTGTATGAATGTATGTTATCACCTATCCTCGTATACAATCATAGACATAAATCACGTTAGTCAATAACGGGATTTAGATAAGTCAATTAACGAGAATGGACTTTTGAATACATATGTTTTGTATGTAAAGTGAATGTAATAGAACAAAGCAAAATGCCGCGCAGTGGAGATGGCTGGTAAGCCAACTCCCCTTTTGTCAATGAATATTTATAGTCACACAAAATTAGGTTACAGACATGTGATGAGTAATGGGATAAGTAGAGTACACACACATATGCGCTCATATGAAAACAGTCAAGCGGATAATTAACAAGGTCAAAATGTGACTCAGTAGAATAAATACAATGGGCTGTTCGAAAGCTAGAATAAGATATATGGGCTTAACATAATGACCGACACTACAATATCATCATAAGCAATTATGAATAAAATAAGGAGAATATGAGACATCAATTAAAGGAGAAATGCAGTATTAATAATAGTAAATATTATGGTCAAGGTAACGATAACAATATGACGTACTTCTTTTGTACGCATAGTTTTGGCTTGAGCTCATGGGTAGCAAGAGCTTCGGCTATATCTAGGAGTTGGATAAGAAGAAATCTAGGTAGAATTGGATGAATCGTATATATATAATGTTTGAGTTTATATAAACTGGCTTCTCTGATATTCAAGGTTAAAAGTTGTCAGTTTCATTGGAGCCAGTTGATCGAATGTATGAGATAATACAAGGTTGATCCCTGTAATTGAAGAAAATTATCAGTCATTAAGTTTACTGGTAATTTTACAAAATTTACAGTAAAATGAACATCATATACTATTTTCTCCAGAAGTTAACATGCTTTGTGTAAATAAATCAAGTTCGATTTGAGCAATGCCTGAAATGTAATGCCTTTTAAACTTTCATGTAGATACGAGCAATGTAAAGAAATAATAATGTTAAGTCTTCAATATATAATGTCACTTTATTGATGAAATGTATTTATATGTAATTGTATTCAATTCATCCTTATCAATTGTCGACTAACATTTCGTTTAGAATAAGTTGGAAATAAAGGGGAAAAACCAGTACAAATATATGAATTTGTTGAAATGAATTAAATGAAAATAAGTGAACATTGACAACGGAAAAAAGTAGTGTTTTTGCAAATCCAAAATAATTGTTATCTGTATTATGAATTTTGAGATGTTCTTTTTTTCAGAATGAATATACACCTTACCAGACAAGTAATCAAAAGGTTGTTTTAGGGAAAGAATTAAGTTTCTTTTTATACTATCAAAAGAACGGATCGTTTTTGCATGCAAAGTTCAGGTTTGAGTTCGCGGATTGCCTCCGCAGTGTACAAAATATTGATTCGACATCTCTTTGATCCGATTCCTTTGACTGTGTTGATTACTTTAAAAGAATAAATTTGAAACATACTAATAAAGGGAAGTAGAGTCAACTAAGGATGAGAGATTAGATGAATCGTTTTTACACTCATGTTGAATCAATATTCTGTTCACTGCTGAAGCATTAGTATTGGAATTCAAACCCGAACTGTGCATGCAGAGACGATTTATCCAACCTCTCATCCTTCCTTGACCCTAACTCCATTTATTGGTATGTTTTGGATTTCTTCTTTTAAAAAAATGAATAAATTAGTTCCATGACCATGACAGTTTTTCAGATAACAGATTATCTAGCTTTATCAAAAAAAAGAAAAAAACAGGACCAACTCAGTGAAAAACTATGTCAAGATAAGAAGTAATCCCATTCGTGTAATTTACAAAATTACATTGACCAACATTTATATGATACAGTTACAATAATTTGTCAATTTCTCATTTTACCATTGTTCATGTTATGAATCTTAGTTAATATAACTATAAACACTAGAATATTGGTACATCCACAGTTTAAAAGTGTAAATTCAACAAAATTATTTTCAATATAGTATCTTTGTGTTTATTAATAGTTTTTCAATGTACTAAATAAAACCTGGAATATTTCTATAATACAAATATCTACACTTTATCACTTCTATTAATTACTTAAACCAACAAATTCACAAATAAATAGTATATTTGTAATATCCCAATGAGTAGAAAAATTAGATTTTCTGACGTTTCGTGACTTAGTGTAAGTCACTTCTTCAGAGGATAAATAACCAAATTAAAATTAATTCAAGTTTAAATGGTACATATTATTCTTATTGTTCCGTTGTACTATTTAAACTTGGATTAATTTTAATTTGGTTATTTATCCTCTGAAGAAGTGACTTACACTAAGTCACGAAACGTCAGAAAATCTAATTTTTCTACTCATTGGGATATTACAAATATACAGTTTATTTATAACAATTTACCCAATGCTCAATTTATTCGAAATTATCAAATCAAAACTTGGTAATGATACCTACAACAAATTCATAATTGAGTATAATATTTAACAATATTGTGTTAAAAGTCAAATGAATAGTTTCACTTAATTAAGCACAATGTCATATTTCAAATAGTTATATATATATATATATATATATATATATATATATATATATATATATATATATATATATATATATATATATATATATATATGCATTTCTGAAAGTATAATGATTTAATATCATAAGGAAATTAAGTAAAATTTAGTACGCTTTTAGCGTACTACGAAAGGAAAACTTTCTTATTCAAACGAAAATTGGTAAATATAAATGTTAACGTATGTCGTTCAAATTGTAGTACAATGAATAAACCCATAGAATTGTGATATATATATATATATGTAGGTTAGATAAAATGTCATGCTGTTTTATTCTAACAATTTCTCTCTTTAGATAGTAAGATGATTATCTTAATTACAAATTATTGGACAGTAGATACACTTCATCTTTTCTTTTTTCCATCTATGTCTTTTGACATTACTGTTTGTTTTCTGTATATTTGTTGATTCGTTAACAAAATAATCAGAATAGAAATCTTGTTGTTTGTAGAAAGTTTTTTATTTCTCCAATTCCTTAAAAGAAAAAAAATCAACTTTGACTAAATATTTTTTTGATTGAAATCATGAGTCAATTGAAGCTAGACCACCATGGAAAACCTGGAAGCACTGAACGGCCGTTTCTTCCCAGTATGGGACTCTTCAGCAGTGCCCAACCACGATCTCGCGCCTCGCGAGATTCGAACTCAGGACCTATCAGTCTCGCGCCAGGCGCTTAACTAACTACACCACTTAGCCGGCATCTTATGGTGTTTATGTCTAAACTCAACCAACTAAATAGTTAAACAGTGACCCACATATAATAAGGGCAAGAATTTTATATTTTTTCTCTCTTTTTTTGGCTGATAGGTGCTTATGGTTAAACAGTTCTCAAACTAAAAAACAAAACAAATAGTTGTTTGACATTTCCTAGTCTCTATACGTTCTCCAGTTGAATGGAAAAAAATTCTGTTTCCTATTTGAGGAATCATTTTGTATAATCTCAATATGCAGACTGTTATGATGAAAATCTTAAATCAGATGGTAAATCATTAAGTAAACTAAATGATACTACACAGCTAAAATTCAATTTGCTATCAGATTTAGGTTTACGTTATTAAGTGTTTTTATAATTAACCATATCTTATAGGAAATTCAACAAATCATTTCTAAACTAAATATATATATTCATCCATTACATCTGAATTGATTAATTTTCTAATTTATGCAGACCTAATTGAAGTTAATTTCGTTTGTAATTATTAAGATTATCCCGTTGTTCATGTTAATATCAGTTACATCTTAATTGGTATATGTGGATCCTGTGTGAACTGACGCAATATAACCATTATGACGTAATTTGCTGCGAACAGATGAAATATGGCTATAAATCGAATGCAAAACGCTTATTTTGTCCTATTTGGAACTTGTCAGTTGAATATAACGGGATTCAAGACTGACCAAACTTCAATCAAAATATTAACAACAATATAATCCAAACTGAAATTTATACCCGTTGCACTAGAGAGTATCTCTCTGAACCCATAACACAAGTGTATATCATTTTGGCGTTTAACGTGAAAACATTCTACGTTCGAGTTTCGAAATGGTTCTCAAATTTGTAATCCATGCACATTCGTCTGACGAATGCTAAATAGGATAAAACGTTCATTCTGGTTTCCACTGCTAGCCACATTCCATCGATTTTATGCTGAGTGGAATAAATCTTAAATAAAGTTGGCTTATTAATATACCGTATTGTATGTAATATTCACATAATGGAACTATATATTTATGAAAGCAAGTTGAACTCTTATCATTATTATCTGCCCTTGATTTATTTTTAAATATTCAATTATTTTCAAGTGAAAAGAATGAAACAAACATCTAAGTATACGTATTTTGAAGTTTGGATTTATTTACCCGTAGTGAATCTAAGAGAAAAATGTGTACTGTGTTTGATCTATCACAGTATAAATAGTCCATTTAGTATACATCAGTAGTTCGAATTCTGTAAAAATCAGTGTACAGATAAACAGTATAAATTACACTGGGAACGAGGCGAATAGGGATAGGTATTGTCACATCACATTAGTTAAAGGTTTTATTTAAAATTTATTCACTTCCACCATGAATAAATAAATTTATTCAACAATGAGATCAATTAACTATACTTTACATCCAAATGACATAACAATTCAATCATCGACTCTCTTGGCAAAATCACTGACAGAAAGTGAAATGCCTGGTGGCAGAAAGTTAAAAGGATCGAAGAGAGGAGAACGAGAACAGAGAGTGATTGATGTATCAACGAAGGAACAAAGAAGTCGGAGATAATTGGGTGACATTTTGCAAATGAAGTATTTGCTGTATGGTTCTCAGATTTTAATCAAGATAATCTGTAATATATTAAAATATATTTAGTTGTCCTCGCCTGTGTTATTGTTCACTACAGTTTCACAAAAGCGCCTTAAGTTATAAGCAAAAAATGAGATTAAAAACCTAGATAATCCATTCATTTTACTCTGTAATAGCTAGAAAATAACAAGACCTGGCAGCTTAAACTGGATACTGTTTGTTCTACGGCTTAGATTATAGCTCAATTGCATGAAAGGTTGAAGAATATTGTCTTTGGTATTTTGTGTATTTCATGTATATTTCTGTTTGAATGAATCAATGGGTTGTATATAAAAATCTACTTTTTTGTATGTTGTCGTACAATCAAATTCATTTCACTGTTGTTACAAGATCATAAGGTTTCCTGTATTATAGGGTTAACAAGTTGAAGAATGGTGTTTATTTACTATGAAAGAATCATTCTTAGATTTATTTCTACTGATGGAATTGTCATCGTGAATTTAGAACAGAACATCAAAGAAATAGATTCTATTGTCACAGTTTCCCTAATACGTAAAAATGATCACAGGAAATATACAAATAAATTAATTCTAAGATCGCCTAGTATGTTCATTTGTAATAATTGCTTCGTTCATGTAAAAAAAGCACATTATATTATTACATTAAGATGATAATTTTACATTCAGAACAGATTCTTAATACAGGTGAACAATGAGAACATGGACTTGTAACTCTATTGATTTACTTTCTCTAATGGATCAATATGTTCAGCAAACATTTATTCATAATATTCTCTAAACGTTTTGAAACCGGTTTAATTTAATTCATTAATGCTTCAAATTGTTACAGTACATTAAAATCCCTTCATTCTTTTAAATGTTTTATCATTAGTAACTATTCTTTAGATCAATACATAATCAATATAGTTTTTAATTCAGACTAAATGTCAAATGTTGATCTGGGTATGAATGTAGCAAATGTAAATAAATATTTATCAATCAATACATATTTTTCAATGAATCTTATACAAAATAATTTGGGATATAGAAATAAACTATATTCAGATCTTATGTATATTCCATTGAACAGGTTTATTCTTTGAATGTAAATAGGGATTCAATTCTAGTGACTTTAGTAAGTTCATTAGTAATTCATCGAATGTTGTACTTTCTATAATCATAGAAGAAAAAGACCAGAATGATGGCATTTCCCTCGTTAAATATTTTACCAAGTTCAATAATACACAAGAAATTATCAGTATATTTGTTTTGTTTCTTATGACTGATTAACTTGTGGTTGATTTTAAGGAACATTTCTTTTAAAGATATATTGGTGTTAAAATAGACATTAAATTTAGATAATATACAAAATTGTTTGAACAAAATTATCATATGTTAGTCTTAAATAATGATAAATACAAAACGAATCCCGCGGGGCGGGATCATATATATATATATATATATATATATATATATATATATATATATATATATAACTTACAAAATTCCATCTTAGGAAGACAAATTTCTAACGAAATAGTGATCATTATGAGGATTTGTGGAAATTGTAGTATTTTCACAATTGAATCCATAGGTTGATCTAAGCTAGACCACCACTGAAAACCTGTAAGTAATAGGTGGCCGCTTCGCACTAGTATGAGAATTTTTACGAGCGCGCATTCACGATCCCGCAGTGACAGTAATCATGTGCTCACTAATGACTAGATTCACGATGAATTTTCTAAAGTTCTAGTGCTAAGCCGTGACCAGTGAAGCCCAATCTGTATTGGGTGGGAACAGTTATCCAATCAGACCATGAATCAAGGGTTGCACAAGAACATGGATTGATTGAAGTTAGACATTACCACGGTTGAATGCCAGCTCAGTGGCCTAGAGGTTTAGCGTTCACGCACATGACTGAACACTCTTGACTCGAGTCCCCCATGCAAGATTGTAGTAATGAACTGCTGAGAAGTTCTATAGTGTCCATCCCTCTATTATTCTTTACTGAAATATCATAAATAGTCCATGATAAATATTCACCATTGTATCGGTAGATTAGTTAATATATTAGCGTAGAATGTTCCATTACTTTACATATTTAAGAAATGAAATTAAACCAGAACACGTTTTGCATGAAAACTTTTGTTACTAGTTTGAGAATCAACAATTAAGCATCTTAAAGTATAACAATCACTTGTTTATTTTATAAAAACCATGATCATTAAAAATAATGATTCAAAAATAAATCGAAGTCTTAAAAATCATTTTTTCCGTAGATGTAATTATTATCAAGTTCCTCTTGACTACTTCTGAAAAGTTCAAAATCATCACTAGGAAGACATTGAATATTATTCGTAATTTATCACTACTTTAAAGTATATTAGTGTATAGTGAAACCTATCCCTGAAATCAATTAATCTATCATGAATATAGACATGTTTATAAACAAACGATAACCAAAGGTGAATCGATCTGATGTGATTAGTTCACGTACTGAAAATAAAGATTTGTACACATGTAGAATAATTTATTACTATGTATTTAACATACTGATATTGGTATGTTATCGTGTGGTTTCGATGAAGCAAAAAAAAACTTCGCCTAAACTAGTAACAAAGACATGATTACTTTGATTATGAAATTACTTTGTCTATAAACTTACTTAAAATTAAACAGTTCTGAATGTGAAAAAAATCGATCCAGACTACAAACTGTAGTTCTGTTTTATGTTTTCTATTTGAATCAGTGATAAATTAGTGAATTAACGTTAATAGAGGTAAATGACCTTGATTCATACTTAATATACCATAGGAGGATACCTATATTATATCACAAATTAGTTGAGGAGGGAAACATATATTACAGATTTAATCTTACACTTGAATGTTTAACCTATAGCTGACGTTAGTTGAAGCTTAATTTACAAACAGTACTTGAAATATCTATCATGACATGTGAAAGAAGTTTTTAAGAAAAATCATTTTTTACATGTTTCATCAAAGATTGATCACTTCTAGTAATAAACTTTTAGTGAAATAAGAATAATTTCATCACCTATACACAGTTTTCGTCGACTTGATTTTAAAGGAAAATGGTATATAAATTTAATTTAGATAGTAAAAGATCATGATGGAAACACGGTTAGGCGAGACTATAATTTATGGACGAACCAATCAGATATAAGATAACAAGCCTCAGATTTTGGTGAGAAACTCACACATTCATTTGGATAAATAGAGTTTTGGCATGATAGCTGATACTAGTTGGTGATGAAAACTCTAAATCTAATTTTTAACTTTAACCATCAATTGTAAATCAAAATTCGCATTCCTCACACAAGTTTGTAACCCTCATTTGGTCCTAGTTTTTAGGTGAGCACTCTCAAGGTCACTTTAGTGTCGCTCAAAGGTCGTCCGTAAATTATAGTTTCACCCATGGTTAAAATATTTAAATTATAGATCAACGATCGCTTACTACTGACAAAGAATTCCGTTGAAGCTTAATATGCATCTAATGATAATGCATTGATTAAAGTTCAGACATAGACAATACTATACCTTATGGACCATTCTTGTTTTTCAATTAAGTCACAAAAATTATTCTAATCAAACTACAGTAAGTTTATCAAATTCATGAACCATTGAAAATGTCATCAGATTCAGTTTAGAACAAAATACATTTATTGACAGATTTTGATGATAAATAAAAAGAAAGAAAACAATCATTTTACAAGATTTAATGTTTATAGAGACTATGAATGATACGGAAATGTTTCCTTCCAATAACTGTTTATAAATTAACCATATAAACTATCAATATTTCACTAGTAAATAATTAATGACAATGTTAACCATAAACTATAGAAGAATGTAACAACCAAAGCTTTGTCTTGTTAAATTATCCATGATTGTTAATTTCATTCAGCATAAGTAAATTATATTGTACACTATTGAGTTCAATATATATTGAATGATAATATCTAATACTATCCTTTTTTACATGTTGATGAATAACAATTGATAAGGACATCGATTATAAAGGAATGGTAACATTTAAATCTTATTGAATGCAGGTACATCCAGCTGACGAATCCCAAATAGGACGAAGTTGAATGCATCCTAGATTCCACTGTTAGATATCATTATTCTATCCTTATATTCCTACTGGAAAACGCTTCTTAAAAATAAGATATATATATAACAATAGCAGAAGTCTACTGATGGAAATTCTTTATGATATATTATAGTCTAGTCAATTTTTTAATATCTTAATCAAATTACTTGTTTATGGTTACTACTGGATAATGTAATAATAATAGTGCTTTGAAAAGTGTAGAAGGTAACGAGAAATATATCACCTAGAACACAGAAATGAGAAAAATATATATTATTCCGTAATTCAAGGAAGGTTACAAATATCCAATCAATGTCTGAAAAATATATGAGTGAGGAAAAAAACAATAAACACAAAGTTATTTCCTAAGTGCATGATGTAACTAATTCAGAAAAACTAAGATGAAAAATCAATTAACGAGTAACGAAATGATCAAATTACAATAGTGATGATAAATGAACAGCTACTTTCTTCCAAATGAGTCGTTTCATAGTAAAAGCATCAGCAACACTCAATTAAACTCTAATATTTTGCTGATAAACTGCTTTTTGCAAAACTACAAATAACCTGAAATATAAAAATTATAAGCAAAGATGGATAGTGGCCAGCAGTGGAATTTAGGACGCATGCTTCGTCTTATTTGGGACACGTCAGTTGGATTTACATGAATCTCAGAGTTGATGTTCATTCCGACACTCAAATTCAGTACCCTTTCGCTTCAAACGCCATCTCGTTATCCACCAAGCTACAGAGTCCTGATAGCCAATTGATTGTGAAACGGGGTAAAGTTTAAATTCACTTTGTACTGTTTACTTGAATCTTCCCACTGATGTTTTGGACTGCAATTGATCAGTCTCTTATTAACATATGTGCTCACTGTGCGTATTGCCTCGATATTGCTTTGATATTTCGTACTAGTATCACAAATTGTATGAATATATTGTTGCTTACATTTAAACAGTTTCCATTAATATTATGAGTACTGTTCAAAAGAAGGTAAGCGTTAATAATGATAATAATCATTTTTAAATTCTAATCACTATACAATGAATAGTTTCTTGGCTATCATTTAGAGAATACTAACAAGTTTGAATCATATAATTGGATACTGTGTCGTAAACAAAGGCAACTAATATATTACAATAGTTGAGATCACAAGTCAATTAAAGCCAGACCACCATGGAAAACCTGGAAGCAGTAGACAGCCGTTTCGTCCAACTGTTGAACTCCTCGTCAGTGAACATCCACGATCCCGCCTTATGAGATTTGGCCGTTAAGTGCTTACAGGTTTTCCACTGTGGTCTAGCTTCAATTGACTCATGATCTCAACTATTGAAATAACTATAATATCCATAAAATTACCTTCTGATATTCAACAACTAATATACGTCATATAAATTCAGGGAACCAAATTTTCTATTGCTTTTTCAGTATAACAAATTGAGAAATAAACGAAAAGAGTTAGTTTCCAATAAACCACTGGCAATATTAAATCATACATTCATGAATTTTATTTTTATTTTTTAACATAGAAACAAATTATTTGTATTTATTTATTTGCTCAAAGGTTATTAACTTATTTTTTTTAATAAATTCAAGTCAGATGATAGAAATATAGATAAGCAACAGCACTTGAATTATTTGATTATGTTTATACAAATTTTTGTTGTTTTCCTTGTTGTTGTTGTTTTTGTGCATCAGTTGAGTTCATAGTCCATGAATAATAATAATAATAATGATTGTAAGCATATTACCACTACTACTACTACTACTACTACTTCTAGCTACATCAAATAAGATACATTTTATTATTTCATTTAAATACTGAATTTATAAGCTTGTAAATCTCATCATAAAACCTAAATCATTCAAGTAAATATGATAAATATGTGGAAAACATTACATCAATAATAATAAGGATTATTATGAGGTAAGCTACTACTTATCTGTGTATTATTTACTGTCATTCGTCCGCTTACTGACTAGTTATTGATTATCTTTAATTTTTAAGTTATTTTTAATTAAATTCCTTATTTGATGGATTACTTTAATTAATTTAACGATGAGAACCGTAGCTGGTTAATAAGTTATAGATTGAGTGTTTTTTTATTCATTAGAGTTCTATTCCATAATGGTAACATACATTGTATGAATATATTGTCGCTTACATTTAAATGAAAATGATGTCTATTATTCAATGAAATATGTGAACATGCTCTGCCCCTCAATCTCTTTTTTCCTCTCCCTCTCTCTCTATATATATACACTCTTTTTAAGCAAAATGAATAGCGGCTAGCAGTGGAATCCAGGACGCGCGTTTCGTCCTATTTGGGACTCATTAGCTGGATGTACCTGCATCTCAGATTTGATGTTCACTCCGGGACTCGAACCTAGTACCGTCCCAAATAGGACGAAACGCACATCCTAGATTCCACTGCTAACCACTATATATCTTTGCTTAAAAAGCTCGTAACTTAAAGCTATATCGAGGCAATTCGCACAGGATGCACATATGCCAACATGGGACTGATCAATTACAGTCCTAATTAACACTGGGAAGATACAAGTAAAACAACACCAAATGAATTTACACATATATTCCGTTTTAATAACATTAATTGAATTCAATCAAGCGAATTATGTCGAATTTCTTTATGTGAATTTCAGACATGAACAGTTGCCATATAAAAAATTTATTAAAATAAAATCTTATGAATTTATGAAACACTCAATTATTATTCACTAGATACAAATTAGATTATAATAAGAAAGAAAGAAAAGATAACTGTACAAGTTGCTCAATTGTGTTTTTGAAAAAGAAACATTGATTTGAGCATTGTCACAATTACCAAAATATTGATTTTTCAAAAAAAAACAAAAAAATGTTCTAGTTCTTTTCAATTGTTTCTCTGTTGTGATAAGTACAATTTTTTCTATCGACTGGGTAAAAGTTAATTTTGATTCATTTTCATTATTAAACTGTTTAAGTTTAATCTATTGTTTGCTCATATAAAGAGGATAGCTTATGACTTAATTATGAGTATTGTACAAACATGAGTATCCATGTTAAATAATTTGGCGGCCTGCTTGAAGATCTAGGCTAATTGTTCCTTCCATCGGAATATTTCAACAAGTTATCTATTTTCGTTTGTTTTAATGCAATAATACGCACCTATTAAGGGATGTTTCTGAAAATTGTAAAACCTTTAGTTATACAAGTTACAAAAGAGCCCAATCAGAAGTATCATGGTTGCTGGTAATATGCCTCGAAAAGAATGTACATAATTTAGATGTCGATTCCTGAAGTGCTAACTCCTAACTGGCGATCACTCAATATTTATCATCAGTATCGACCAAGAAATACGAAACGGAAACTTGTTAAAATACTTTCTTTTGAGGATTCTATGTTTTACCAAAAATAATAATAATAATAATAATAATAAGAATTAATAATTAAAATAGTTGTGATCATTAGTCAATTGAAGCTAGACCACTGAAAGCACTGGACAGCCGTTCCATTCTATTGTGGGACTCCTCAGCAGTGCGTATCCATGATGAAACAGCCTTCAGTGCTTTCAGGTTTTCCATTGTGGTTTAGCTTCAATCAACTCATGATCTCAACCATTAAGCTTACTTTAATATTCACAAAATCTTCTCAAATTAATAGTTAATTAAATTATATCGGTTCACATGTCAACCAAATGACATATAGATCATGCAATCAAATGAGTTCTAACTATAAATTAAAGTTATTTATTCAAGTTACTTATTTCTATCCCACTTGTATATTTATTCCATTGTAAAATATAAACCAATTTTCTTTTCGACCAATTCACTTGAAAATTTGGTAATTTAAGATTAGATACGCTAAGTTAAGTAAAAATGTAATATAATCAATTAATGAATATTGATTTCCCATTAGGAAAAATCCTCTCTGATTTTTTTTCAGTTTGCGACATAGCCGAAATCAAATGGAAACTCATAAAATGTCAATTAATTTATTTTATATCAAAATGATCAGTTTGTTTTCTCTATAAATATTCCTCGAAAGATATTTCTATCAGTAGAATGAGATTTGAGACCAATAAATCCTGTGCTCGAATACCGCGGGGATACCGGCTGTGGACTTTCATAATAAGACAAAACGGTCGTCCAGTGCTTTTAGGCTTTCCATAGTGGTCTAGCTTCAAATGATTCATGATCTTAACTATTAGATTATTTCTAACTTTTCTTATCAATATTTTGACAATTAAAAGATAATTAATTAACCTATTGATATAATCCAATTATAAAATATATGAAATAAATGAATATAATTTTCTTTGACTAATTGAACTAACTGTCATAACTTATGAAGTAAATACAGTAAGACGGTGGTAGGCATCAATTTCAGACAAACTGTCTAAACGTAATAAATGAATTACTGATTAATTATTTTCTGTATAAAAATAGAACAATCGAATCATTAGTCAAATGAATTGATTCTTGATTAGATGATTTATATTTTAGTCATCATTACTGGTTAAATGAATATGTATAATTTAATACTTTTAATACATGATTGATGGTTCTAAGGAGAAAATGTACGTCATTAGCAATTGATGAAGCTTAATTTATGCTTCTATAACGTACAGTTATTGAGAATGATTAAAACCATATGGTTTGCTAATGCATACTGTGGAAAAATTGCTTCTAGATAAAACGAATAAAGTTGTCAATGTAGAACTCATTCGTATTTCTATTAAAGTTTTAGTTTTATTTCCGTTTTACTAACTAAACCTTATTTACACATGTTTCATGAAGCATCAATATGTTTGGTAAACCTTTCTTTCTATACATTTTTTAAAAATATAGATTCATTCAGTCGATTCATAACCAATTATTCATTGATTTGTGTCATTCTCTTTGAATGGCACTAACAAGTGTTGTAACTCCTTATAAAGTCGGAATGTCAGGTGATATCATACCAAATAATTTCGATATGATACCTTATTCCACTTTTCATACAGCTTTATTACCACATCCAAATCCATTAGGACCTGGAAATCTATCAAATATTTCAACAGGTTTAATGCTTACAGCACAACAACCAACTGGACAAAATCCTTATTGTCCACCAATAACTCTTACTAATGGATATTATACAAATGTTAGTTATCCACATAATGCAGAATCGTTTTGTTATGTACAACCAAATGATGCTAATTCAATATTAAATGCATATCATACATATCCTACATCAATAAATTTACCATTACATGCAACAAATATAACATGTGATAAGTTATATACATCTAATAATCATATAAATAGTAACAATCATAATAATAACAATCATAATCATAATCATATTACTGCACAGAACCCATTACTTTCAACAATAAATACAAATCATATTACTATAAATAATAATTATAATGATAAAAATGAATTAAGCAAGAGATTAGAAATGATAGCGGTTGAAAAATCTAATACTTTATTAGATGAATCATCACAAGGACTAATTGATAAATCAGCTATATTATCATCATTGTCATCTACATCTACATCAACAACTACAACAATTATTACACATGGTGAAAATGGAAATGTTCAACAGAATACATCATTATTGGTACTACGATTATTGATGTCGGGAAAAGTAGGTTATTATTTATTCAATTATGTTTATGTTTAATGTCAATAGTAATGAAAAAGAGGATAATCTAAGTGAGAGAATATTGATATTTAAAATAGTTTACTGGACGCAATGGAGTTTGAAACAAAGTGTATAGAGTTTGAGTTCCGGAGTAAACATTAACTCTGGGATATAGGTTCGTCCGACTGACAAGTCCAAAATAGGACGAAACGTGAGTCCTGGATTCCACTACTAGCCACTATCCATCTTTGCTTATAATGCTTGTGGCTTAGGGAAATATCAAGTCAAACCGAACAGGATGTACGTGTGCCAATAAGAGACTAATCAATTGCAATCCTAAATATCAATGGGAAGTTTCAAACAAACAATCCAAAATGAATTCACGTATAAAATAGTTATAAATTGTAAGGAAACTCTTATTTTGTCTTTAATTAGAAAGTCGATCATTTTTGCTTTCAATATTTTAATTATTTTGCTACCTAAAATTTGGATTGACAAGATGAAGTGGTGGTTTAAAAATGATCATAACTAAAGTGAAATGAATTTTTCTTTTGTAGAGCATTAATTACTAAATGAATAATGTGTTATATTTTGAACAACAATTAGTCATTTTGTAGATAACATCACAAATTGATCTTAGTTAAATATCTATTGAAAACCTTTAGACCATTAACTCGGCATCCAAACTTAACAATCCCTACAAATCCGCTTTGGTGAATAATAATTTTGAGAGGCGATTCACGAAGTTCTAATGTGAACTTTTGACTGGTGAAGTTCAACGACGCTACGTGAGGCACTTACCCATCAGTTACTTTGGGGATGGTTGTGGTATATCCCTGAGTTATTGCAGTTAAACGTGTAAACCATTAGATGAATGCTTGGTTATTTAAAACATGGAGGTACTGATTTTGACTCATAATTAGGTCGTTGCTATATGTCCAATGAAAGGATCGTTACTTAAACTCAATAGCTATCTAGGGCTTCATAGTTTTCAATGCATGTTTGACTAAGATCAATCCACAATATAATCTTGAAAAATCAACATAATCTAAAAAGTCCCTACCAAATAGTTGTTTCGCTCAAGTTGTAATTAGTTAACATACCATGTTTACTGATCCCATTATCTGATTAGGTTGTGATCGTCATGGTGATGAGAATAATTCCAAAATCCCACTGCCTTCATGTGTGAACTTCTAATCAATTATTTTCCAGCCATCCATTAAATCCTTTAATGCCTTAACGTGGTGATCATATTTTACATTCAGAGATTTTTAAAATGCCATCATCACTAATAATTATTATTATTTTCCTGTAAAACATTAAAAGAAAATCTTCAGTTGCTCTACATGATCAATATTATCACTGCCTACATCAACACAAAATGGTCGGTAAAAAGAAAAGGGAAAAACATAGTAAAATATCTTAAATCAAATTGTTGATCTGGTACAAATGAAAACTCATCCAAACTTAACAGTTATATTTGCAAAAAGAAATAATAATAATGTGCCATTTAGACTAACTTAAGACCATAACATAAATGTTCACAAACAGTTGATGATAGTTACTTTACCGACAACAACACTAATTCTACCAATGTATATGAATATCTTGAACTGGTCCGTATTGTTTAAACGAATGCTCTTCTATGTTATTTGTTATAGTACACTTTGTAAACTCAATGGTCAGTATATTTTATTTTATGAATTCTCATTCAACTATTCAAGCAAACTAATGGTCGGTTGTTCTTTTTCTAAAGTAGATAAATATTCAAATCCATTTCAATGATTAATTTATGTTATTATAATAATAATAAACAATTAAAACAATTCAGTCATTCAATGATCATAAATATTTAAGAAACTGTATTCAAATAAAAGAAAGACTATGATGACTTTTTATATTTGGATTTACTAGTCGATTATATCATCTCTTTATTGCGTGATATAAGAACAAAAATTATGATAGCTTGAATAGAATTAAATACTTATTCTTTTTTTTAAAATCTTGACTAGTTCATAAATGAAACGGGTATTGAAAATATCCATCATTGACAATAACTATGAAGTTTATAGTCATAAATAAAACTGAATAATACCGTTTGTCATAGATTAGGTAAAATAATTTAAAGAAAGATTTGTGACATTATTAATTAGTATTATTTAAGCTTGACAATAAGAAAGTATTGTTATATGGAATGTCTTAGATATATTCATTAAAAACGAAGAATTGGTAGAGGGGTTGTGGAGAGTATTAAGTTTTAAATTAAGATCATGAACCGATTGATGTTAGACCATCATTGGAAATCTGGAAGCACTAACATTAATCGGTTCATGATGTTAATCTAAAACTTAATACTCTCTACAACTCGCATACTGATACTTACCATGTACCCACTAGTGACTAGCCTCGTGAGGGAATTCTTGGAGTTCTAGTGAGAAGCCGTGACCAGTAGAGCTAATCCATGTCGGGTAGAGACAGGTATCTACCTCGGTACAATGGAAGATGTTAGAGGCTGACACCATTGAATGCCAGCTCAGTGGTCCAGTAGGTTAAGCGTTTGCACGCGTGATTAAAGGCCGTGGGTTCGAATCCCTCGAGCGGGATCGTTGATGAGCACTGCTAAGGAGTCCCACAATAGGACGAAACGACCGTTCAGTGCTTCCAAGTTTCCAACGGTGGTCTAACATCAATCGTTTCATGATCTCAATCTAAAAATGAAGAACATTTGAATGAACAATTATTTTTGATAACTTCATAAGTCTCTATAGTGACAAGTCCATAATTATTGTGATACGTTAAAAATGGTGAACATTTGAATCTATCATGGTATAAGTACTTCAAAATTGTGTTATTTGTAAATAAATAAAGTCAGTAAATATAGGATAGAATGATTCGGAATAAAGTGTCAAGTCAATCGTTCGATCAAATAATCTGCTATTGTGATACACTAATTAGTTGAAAAAAGACAAGTAAATCAAATAATCCCATGGGATAATATGATGGATATCATATTTGCCCATGTATGTATGTTTGTCTAGATATGTAATGTTGTTAAAAAATCTTTAATATATCGATTCACATATTTGTCTTCCGTTCCATATAACGAAGAAACTAGTTTGACTATTCTGAATCGGTTAAAACATTTTATAGTACCAACTAATTGACTGAGAACATGTTTGAATGGTTATTATTTCTATTCAGAACATTTTAAGAAAATCTAATGTACAACCTTTAAATTGACTTGAGAGACATTTTATACATATGACTCCATAAAATGTCAAATGAACCATGTCATAAGCTGTCAAGCTTCTTTTTTTATTGTTTTCTCACAAAAAACTGTAAACGATTGCAAATGATGTGTACAACAGCTCTAATTTCAACGTTCAATGCACAGATGTAAACTTGTCTTTGAATAAGAAGGATATTGAATGACTTTATTTTTCAGTTAGAAACATGAGAAAAATGATTCAACTGTTGTTTTTGTAATGGCAGATAGTATAAAGTATTAGTCATCGTTTTCTTCGAAGGTTACATTTTTCACCAATTATTAATGGTCAAAATAGCTTGAAAACACTAGAAGTTTGTTTCTACGAAAAATACAAAATTCTTTGCCTATCACTGTACAATTGAACCATTAAATTTTTAGTATGAATGTATAACTTCCATGGTTGTTTACAAAAAGTCAAAACTAATCGATCACACGATGTTTGGCTCATATTGTCTTGTTAAAAATAGTCTATTTTTTTTTTTTAAGGAAGACACATATTATATTTAACATATCGGATTACTGAATAACTCTACTATGAATATTGTATGTACATATTATTAATTAAGAAATTGAAGTTTATTGGCCGTCATTACGTTCCTTGAAAAAAACCTTTGTATATTCAACGTGAAAATGTTGTCGAAAGAATAAATCGAGTAATATTACATTCTCCTATTTGCAAATCATATTATAATTTCCTCATATAGGCAAAAAATTTGTAGATTATGAATGGTTACAAAGGTCATTGATAATGATCGTATTGTTTCTTAGTTTCGAACATTTGTCAAATATCATTAGTAAAAATTTAGTGAGAAAATTGTTTTTGAAATTAGGTCCATGCCAAAGATTACAGTTACAAGTACTGATTCATTTCAAATATTATGATAGAAAATGTAAAGGTGAACCAAATTTCTTTAAGGTTAATTAAAATGAGTAATCACACTGTGGATACTTTGTGATAAGTTATTTTACAATAAGAATTTCGATGTTAAAGTTTTAAATTTCAATTCTCTTTTGTACTATTTAATCACAAATTAGTAAACAATACCATGTTTGCCTAGTCTTTATTCTGTCAAATAAGTTGGATTGTAGCTGTTTATCAAAGTAGCCCAACTTAATGTTCTGACGCTGGATGGTTGGATGCGAGTCAACTAGTATTATAGAATATTAACTACTGAGTAACCAGCGGGATATTTTTCATTATACTTAGTTAATTTAAAGCAGCTGATGGACGAAAGGTAGAATATTTTTAAAAAGTAAATTTTACCCTTACAACCATAAAAAATCGAGGATTAATGTCTATGATGACAAAAAAACCTGATGTTTATGTATATTTACCAATCAAAACTTCAACAATGTATTGGAAATGAGTTACTTACATGAAACGTCGAAAATCCAGTTCATTAGTTATTGAGATATTACAAGTGTATTATTATTCTATGAATATAAACTGACTACCAAATATCCAGTTTATTTGACGTTTACAAGTCAAACCATGATAAGAACGCTTACTGGGCAGATTGGTTAATAATTCTTTGTCAGGTATCGTAGGCGCATGTATTGTCAATCATAAGGAATTCGTTGTTTCTTTACTTGTTAAAACTTTCTAATACACATGAATAAAGTATATAAAAACTCATAAATGAATGCCCAATTTAAATAGCAATTATTTCACCAACGTCAACTATGAGTCTAGTTGTGAAAACTAATTTTTTTATTATCAGAAGGCATTAGTTTAAAACTTTTGGTCGAAGTTAGACATTAACACCGTTGGATGCCGGCTCAGTGGTCTAGTGATTAAGTGTTGGCGCAGGGCAAGGATGCGCACTGGTGAGGAGTCCCATACTGGGATGAAACGGCCGTCCAGTACTTCTAGGTTTTCCATGGTGGTCTAGCTTCAATTGACTCATGATTTCAATCAGTGTAATTCGTTATTATTGCTGTGTTTTTTTATAATAATAACGGTTCAAAAACAAGTAATCTAACTTAAGTTTCCAATTCAAGTACAAAGCTAATTACTCTTCTTCTGCTTTTACTTAAACGTAATTAGTTCTGTATTAACATTTATAGAATGAAAAATATTTGATATATAGTGACAGTTTTAATTATGTAATAGTATATAAAGGGAAGGTATGTTTTTATGTTATGTCATGTAACATTAAATATATAACCTGGTATGTAACATTCTTTACAATCAGCATAATAAGAATATAGATGTGAACCTATGAATACTTTGTTGATATTTTGAAAAGATAACTAAATAACTGAATCATTGAAGAGATTGATGATGAAAATAGTAACTAAACATTAAAACATAAGTTTTCTTGATCACTTGAATTGATTAATTCAATATCTCCATTTATAGTTTACTGAATTGGACGAGTTAAATGAACTCAAAATAGTAGCTCAGAGATTAACTTGAACACACATATTTAATGTAAATCTATATTCAATTGAAAATATCTTAAAATCTTCACACTTCAATGAATATGTCAATTCATTTAAAGTCATAAATGAAAGAAATACACATAACAAGGATTATTGCATAACCTAGCCATTAATTTAACCGAATAGAAAATACAAAATCTTTAAAGATAAACAATCGAAAATAAATTCATTAAACCATACATTTAACAATTGCTCTATTGTTTTTAAAAAGTCCAATTTTAATTAAAGTAGTCGTTGTTATGGCTGTTCAGAAATACATTCCAAAATCAAATAATTTAAATCAAAGAAAATAATAATGTTAAAATATTTCGCTTGAGCAATAAATTACTCTTATCATTTCTAACTTAAATCAATTCAATAAATAATAATTGTCCCAGGATATCCTTTAAATGATTACGTAACCAAAAATAATAACTTTCTCCCACCATAAGATCACTTTATCTCATATAAGATTGGTAATAAACTTAGTTCAGTTTTGTTTGAAGCTTGAAACGTAGTTTTGTCAACCATTCGGTTGTAATCGACTTTATTCCTTTTAATATAAAATGATAATAACTTTATATTCAAATCAATAAAAAAATGATTATGGATTAGCTGAATGATAAACGATTTACTAAAAGTAGATAAACTTTAACTGTTATATCAAAGAATGAATGAACTACTTATAAAACATCAATTTAAAATATTAGTAATATCATTTTGTATCAACTTCAATAACTACTCAAAATATGAAGAGACCTTTTATATACTTGGTCGTTAGGCAAACCATAATATAATTCCTTATTGATCAAAATATGTTTAAATTAAAGGTTTATTATAACAGTTATTATCTAATATCAGAATGGGTTTTGTGGAGATTTTTTTTAGAAATGTCACTGGTTAAAATCATGAGTCAATTAGAGCTAGACCACCATGGAAAACCTGGAAGGAGTTCCATACTAGGACGAAACGGCCGTCCAGTGCTTCCAGGTTTTCTATGGTGGTCTAGCTTCAATTGACTCATGATTTCAACCAGCGAAATTATTATCTAAGTAAATATTATTCAATGTAATTTTCATTGATATCAGCAAATACAGTCAGAGTAGTCTAAGATACTTTATTCTTAAGTGTATGAAATCCTTAACACTTATACAGATAAATGACATGTTATCTAATGAAAGCAATCACCTATAATTTGAATTATTTAAACAATATCTAATCTAAATAAAATAAGGTTTAATTTTAGTGGAAAGTGCTCTTTTATTTGAATTCATTTTGTAACTTATGCAATCGCAAATGTACATATTGGCGAGATTAGAATTTATGGACGAATCAATCAGATGTAAGATAACAAGCGAAATACACTCATTCATTTGGGTAAGTAGAGGCTTAGTATTGTAGCTGATGTCAGTTCGTGATGAAATCCCTAAATCTAATTCCTAACCTCAACTATGAACTGTAAATCACAGTTATAATTCTTTAAACTTGTTTATAACCCTCGTATTGGTCCTAGTTTTTAGGTGGACACTCACAAGGTCACTCTAGAACCACTCAAAGGTCGTCCATAAATTATAGTCCCACCTACATATTTATTTTTGGAAATGGTAATTTCATTAATAGTGATGGTAAAATTCTGTGAAACGTCATTACAGTGAAGTAGACAAAACAAAGACTTTAAAACGTTAGTTTTATCAGGGAAACTATTAGTGAGTTTGTTATTGAGAGCTTGAATATTCACTATGACGATAGATAAAGAAATTATAATTGAGAAAGAAAGGCTAAGCATGATAAAATATTGAAATTGAAATGAACTGTAATCAGGAGGATCATAGAAACAAAAAAGACAGTTGGGGGTAAAAAGACTATGGTGAAATAAAAGACAAACAGATGGCTGTGAAGGAAGAAAACTATAAAGAAATAAAATTGAGAGTAGGGTCACAGTATCAGTTTCTTTTGGATAATTAATTTTGGTTTTTTCAGATGTATAACTGGTGCTTCGGTAATGCTAAAAAGATGGAAGATAATTGATTTTGGCAGTTTTTTACTTAACGTTAAGATGACTTTGAACGCAGAATCCGCTTTGGTTGAACAAATGTGTTTACAAGGTGTCCGACCATTGACCAATTTCCACGCCTTTTTACCGACAGATAATCGTAGCAGATAAGTATTTTCTTAAAGAAGTACAGTTCCTTATTTACGACTTCGGGACTGAAAATTCTCTGTATTCGTGTACCGAGGGATAAATTTCAGTTTTCCTTCCTGCTATTGAAAACCCAGTGAAAACTTGATAGGTGACCCTTCCGCAAGTGTTTCCTACAGATTGGTTCTCATAAAGTTCTGTTATGTTTTCTCGTCATTTCAGCATCAATAAAATTAATACTTTGTCTGTCTTCAACTTCAATTATGACATTTATTTATTAATATAAATAATGCTTAGTCAGAATCAAATCAACATAATTCCTTCCTACACATCACCCAGAAGAAATGCACTGAATATAAGTTACTTATAATTAATCTAATCAAAACTTATTGCCTTAATAGTTAAATGTAATTAGGCTTATTCTGTCTCAAAAAGAGTTATAACTTTTTCTTAAGGAAAATTTTTATTACTCATTTGAAATTCTATGTTAATGTACAAATATTTCCATGGCAATTAGAGTTATTGATAATAATACCAAAGCGTTTCTTCATGTAAAAACTAAACTTGATATAGTAACCTACATTATTGATCATTCATACAACAATAAGGTTTATAACATTCTTACTAAAATGATTTTTTATAAATCTAAATAGATATGAATTAAATATGACAGATTCATCCACTATAAACCCTGGAGATAAATGTCATTGGTTATCAGAACAATTAACATAGCCACTAACGTGTTATATATTTCCAAGTACTTTCCTGAAAAAATTCTTTCCAATCTAATGGATAATAATTAACAACCACTTAGAATATTCTTACAAAATACATTGGTCTAATTTAATATAGTGAATACTGACAAAGAAATATTGAATATTAAACTGAGTTCGTTTATTCATGCTGAAAAGTCCATCTCCAATAATGTTTAGATATTGACATTCAACAGTTTAAATTATCAACATAACTCAATGTTAAAGGTTTGGAAATTTGTTAACTAAATGATTTATGGTGTGTTGTTCATTTGTTCTGTTTTTTTTTTGGTATTTTTTTTAATTCTAGGAAGTTGGCAGTATCATCGGCAAAGTAAGTTCTACTTATTTTGTGTTTTCTAATTAATATAATTATTTCATAAATAAATCCATTATTTAATTCTACATTGATATGCTTTACTGATTATTATTATGATAGTGGCTTTATTCAATATTATATTTTTGGTAGAACATAAAATTCTCAGCACAAAATAATACAAAAAGATTCCTCTTCTTATTTCTTGATTGATCCTGACGATAAATATTGAGTGAGTGAGCTAACAGTTTAGGAATCAACATCTGATTAATGTATATTGTTTTCGACATATATTGCCAGCAACCACGATGTCTCTGATTGGGCTCTTTCCTAACTTGTACAGCGAAATATCGTAAATTTTTCACAAACGCATCTCAATAAGTTTTGTGACTAATAGGCATAATGATATGTTAAAACAAATAAGGAAAGCAGATAACTTGTTGAAATATCCAGATGGCAGGAACAGGTAGCCCAGATATTCAAGAAGGTCACCTTGTGAAATACAGTCGACATTAAATTGACACAAGTTTGAATAGTACAAAGAAAACAATAGATAATATTTTTGATATGATCATGATCATAATAGGTCTGAATAAATTCATGTCAAATTTTACATACATTTTTCATATCCACATTCTGACACACAAATGAATACAAGGATGACAGGTTATACAAATTCACTATGATAAAAATTAATTTGAAGTTAACATATTCAGACTGATTGTGATTTTGATTATACTGAGAACATTCTACATTGTTTCCTTTGTACTATTCAAACTTGTATTAATTTAATGTCAGTTATTTATTTACTTTGAAGAAGTGATTAACGTTAAGTTACGAAACGTCAGAAATTCAATCTTTCTACCCGTTGGGATAAAAACAAAAAAATACATATATAATTATCCTTATTTGAAACTATCTAGTTCAACTTTACTGAAACTTATACTAATGATATTCAATCATTGATATGTATGATTAAAGTCACTTTGTAAAAGAAGATATCGAAAAAGGAAGAAAACAACAACAACAACAATATCGATGTGAAACATCATCATCTTCGATACATTATGTTGTTGTTTTTGTTTTATTCAAACAAAATAATGAACATCTAATTTTTTTTAAATGTTTCTCTTCTATTTGACCTGATATTAGATTGTTATAAATTCGTTTCTTTTTTGTCTAACATTCTGTTATTGTTTAAATCACCTACTGTGAAAAAAGAGAATGTTTCGTAGTTAAAAATAAATAAAAAAATAAGGTTACTGATATTTCAAATTGATCACAGATTTTGATTGGCAATATTCTATTACAGATTGATTGTATGGAATAATCCAGGATGGTAGATGTTTTAAGATTAGCCTACCAAAAAAAAAGAGAGAAAACAATGAGGAAGAATTCATCTCCACTTAGTTAATTAATAAGACAGAACTATAAAACATATGTATATATATTTGTGTCACCAAGACTTGACATTTTTAAAGTCACTCAAAAGAAAAACTTCATTTAAAAAAAAATTAGTTTGAATGTTTAAACTAGCAAATATGTACAATTTTGCAAAATTGCATAGTTTCTGAGGATTCGGTTCATTATTTCATGGGAGTTTAGAATTGACAAGAATTCCATATTTATTAGCTATACCATTTTTGATAGTTTCAATCTTTGAGGTTAAATTATGAAAGTGCAATACAATCAATCTACCAAAACAGAAATCGATGAGACTATAATTTATGAACAACCATTTAGCATTGCTAAGATGATGTTGAAAATGTCCATCTAATAACCAGGACTAAAGGTTATAAAGCAATGTGAGGAATTATAATTATGGTTCACAGTTGATGGTTAGGGTTACGAACTAGATTTCGAGTTTTCATCACGAACTGACATCAATTATAATGCCGAAATACTATTTAGCAAAATGAGTGGATGAATTTCACGCTAAAATGCAAGACTTGTTATCTTAAGTCTGATTGGTTATTAGAGTCTCGCCCAGAATCTTTTGTATTATCTTAAGATTCATATAAATATGATATCCTTCTTATTGTTCGAAAAAACAGAAGGATTTCGCCGAAAGTTAAGCTTTTACAAGGGAAAAATTATTCCATCAGCGTCTCCATTACTATGTTCTGTCAACAAATATCTGACACAGACTACCGATAAACTATTTAATCAAGTAAAGCGTAGCAGAGCAAGGTAGAAGCTAAATGATCACTGATAAATATTAGAGGTTTTACAGTTAGAAGAATCAATCTTGTCAGCTAAACGTCATCGTCACCATCATATCACTTCATCCAAAATCTAAATTTGGAGCTTTCTCACTGTACTACAATATTTCTTTATATTTTCAAAACTTGATAGTGAAAACGTAATACTTAACTGTTCTTTTTCTGTTAGCTACACATTTCGGTAAAATATACCATTTGTAACAAACATTTATCTTAAAGTAATTTGTCATTTTTTCTGTAATGAGATATTAGAAGTCGAGCATAGATTTTAATTAGCTATGGATATTATGATCGTGTTTATTCCGCATGAGTTCATCATATTAATAACAAAATTATTGTTTAGTATCAAAAAATTTTTTAGTAAAATATATGAAAGTTATTTAACAAAATACGCGATTTCAAATTTCACCGATCATTTCAATAGTTGGGATCATGAGTCAATTGAAACTAGACCAACATGGAAAACCTGGAAGTACTGGATGGCCGTTTCATCCTATTGTGAAACTCCTCATCAGTGCGTATCCACGATCCGTTCGCGGGATCCGAACTCAGGACCTATCGTTCTCGCGCTCCAGCACTTAGCCACTAGACCACTGAGCCGGCATCCAATGGTGTTAATATCTAACTCCAACTAATCCACGAAATTGAGTGACACATCCATCATTGTCATCAGTGAGTTACTATCTCACAACTGACACGGTTGAATTCCACTGGTCACCGCTTGTCATTAGAACTCCAGGATATACAGCTTGAAGCCAGTTACTAGTGAGCATATGTTGATTAGTATTAGAAGGGGTTTTAGTGGAGATAAGCTTTGTATACTAATCATCTGTATTAAGTCTTATTAAATTATCAGTTTCTCCATAAGTTCATACTATTTGATTTCTCTAAGTGAGGTATTTATTTATCATTGGTTTTATAATTGCCGACGCAAAAATAAGTCATATAACAGTAAATCTCTGAACATGATCAAATATGTTCATCTTAAGAAAAACAAATCAACGTTGAGACTAAGTTAGTTAACATTAGTATGTTCTATTAATAATTTATTATGTACAAATAAGGCATCATTAATATATCATTAGATCAGGATTCATTAATTGGAAATCATCATTTAAACTATATTAATTAATAACCATAATCTTTGGTTAGTCTGTATAAATAAAGTTTTGAACATATACTCACTTCAATATCAAACGAAGCATGAAGAATAATATACGTATAGGTTTCATATCATTTAATAGATTTATCTATCTAATTATAGATTCACCTTGAAAGGACAATAATTAGGTATATTTTTTAGACACGTTTTAGTATTTTCCTTTCATTGTGATTAGCTTAATCATTTTACCCTGTATATTATCCTCAAGAAAGATTTATAGAATAAGTTTTATACATAACTTCTATGTATCATTTTCATAAAATATTTCTATGTTAGTCTTAAGTATTATTTGTTGAGTATTATGTATTGCTAACTAGCAAGTTAGTTCTATTCTTGTTACTCAGTAACCGGCTTTTACACGAAATTTAAATTCCAATAAAACAAGGGAAACTATTAGTCTGCACAATGAACTATCCTAAACATCACTGATTCCCTTCTTGTAACTGAATTAACAGTATAGTTTACTTATTTATTTATTATTGTAAATCGTTTACATAGCTATATGTAAGTGTAAAAACCAGTTGATTTTATTAATGAATAATAATAATTTATCTTCGTTTTATATCAACTTTCCATGTTAGGGATTTATAGACTATCTCACCAGCTGTATGAGATGATTGTTGAAATATTCGAACAGTAACAAAATTCAGTGTATATCAGTTCTGTGGTCTAGAGGTTAAGCGTTCTGAGTTCGAGTCCCGCATGTGAGACTTTAGATGCACACTGTTGAATAGTCTCATACTAGGACGAAACGGAAGTCAAGTGCTTCCAGACGATCTAGCTTAAATCGACTCGTGAATTCAACTTTGAAAACACTACAATCTCTACAAATTCCCATACTAATAAAGTTCATTAGATTTTAGACATCTAGATCTGTAATTTCGTGATAAGTAGGAATAGAAAGGCGAATTTAAGTTTTTGTGAACACAAGTTGACAATTTATGATATTATCTTTAGCCCTGATGTGATATTTCGACATTATTTTTATTCTTAGCATAACATTTTAGTCTTTACAATACTGGTTTTATGAAATCCAGTGTAATATTAATTCAGGTCAATATGTTTGTAATAATTAGTTATTAATTTTGTTCAGTATGACAGATGTGAACTTTCGTTCAGTGTAAACTTGTATACTTTATCTTATACTGTGCGAACATAGTATGTTTATCTTCTCATTTGTATAATGTTTCATAATTAATCATTGTGTGTGTAAAATAAGTCAATAAGTGAGTGTGTATGATTTAATGATGATAGTACTGGACGACTTGTTTGAGATACATGTTTTTTTTGGAGAGCCAATAAATCTTTATTTGTAACAGCCTCTGTGTTTTCATTTCATGTCAATGGAATTACAGTGGTTCCGGTTTTCATGTATAACTGGTAGAACCGTGAATAAAACAGACCTGCCACGTACATAACCTAGACAACTTCCCGAACATAAACTTTCGCGGTAATAAACTTCATTTACTAAACATACTCGGTTGGGTTTCACTGAGACAATTTTTCATGTGCACAAACCACTAAGAAAACCAACCAACCAACTAATTAGCCGAAATTAAATTTTTCATTATTCTATCTTCGATTACTCTTCTACAGTCACGTCGTATATATATACAAACTGATCAAAAAGGTTT